GTCCGCATTTTTCTACTTTGCCTGTCCCTCCTTCCTCTTGATGTGCCTGCTATGTGTCCCCTCGGATTTCTGTGTCCCCTCGCGTTTGCCAGTCGGGTGTTCGGTTTTGATTGACCATCCATCCCTCCACGGAGAAACACAAACACAGCTCCCCTCTTTGGGGGAGCCGAGGGGAAGGCAGTGGCTCCCATTTCTGAGCCTGAACTCAGTCACTCCTCGCACCCCACCCGGCCAAAGCGCCCCTGGGCGGACAAGGCGGGACTCGAACTCGCGCTGCTCCCGGGCCTTGAGCCGACCTCGGAATCACCTGGCTGGCAGGCATCCGCCAGGTGAGCTTGGGAGTCTGTGTGCTTAGTGCTGCAGGCTCCTGCAGAAATGTGCCTATAAACGCCCAACACCCTGCTGCACCCTCCACCTCCAGGCTTTGTACACTTTCCAACCGAAACTCCAAAACGCTAGAGTAGAGGGTGGGGAGCCGGCCGGAAAAGGAATAAAAGTTCAATAAAACTGGCGTTCGCTGAAGTTTATCACCAGCGCTACACAGGAGATACACACACACACACACACACACACACACACACACACACATATATATTTTTTTTCTGTGAAGGGTGAAAAGGAGGTAAGGAAAAACCAACCTTCTACCGCCCCTCGCCGCCCCCCACCCCCTCGCCAAAGTGATCAGTTTGGACTTAAAAGCCAGAGCACAGGCTCTTGCGCTTTTTCTCTAAACCTAAGTCTACACTGAAAGAAAATGTGCACTTTTGCCTAGAAGGCATCATGCCTTTTCCCGCGTGCTAGGTGGAGTGCATTTTAACAAGAAATTAGAGTTTTAACACATGGCCGGAGTGGCAACCAAAAGGGAAAACTCAGTTTCCAGTCCAAGCCTCCTAGAGACATTCCTGCCAACCTCCGCACCCTCTCACGCCCCACCCCACGTGTGAGAGTCTGCACAACCACCGGGGATTGGATTCGATGGCGAGCTTCACGCTCGGGAACAGTCAGTAATCGGAAGGGGAAGTGGACAGGGGAACTTCAAGAGGCCAGCCTGCCACGCGGGAAGCGCCCGAACTTGCGGGTCTCCATGAATGCAGAGGGCGCCGGGAAGGGGGGGCATCCGGCCGCGACCCTCTCTGCCCCTCCCATTCGCTGCCCCCTCCCCGCTGGAATTTCTCTGTAAAGCAAGACGGAGTGGGGGGAGGGGGAGAGGGAAGGGGCGAGAGGGCCCTCGGCTCACTCCCGAGACGTGAGGACTCGCCACCCAGGCATTCTCCTCGGGGTGGGCAAGGCCCCGGGACGACCACCCGCTTCTTCCTCGCCCCCCCTGCCCCCACTTCGGGAGACCCAGAGCTCGAGATGCCTTTCCCCGGGTGGGGGGGAGTGTGCGGGGAGGTGGGGGTGGAAGAGACCTTGCTCGCAGAGCTATCAAGTGATGTCCAGAGGCTGGGAGCCCCGGTGGCCTCTGTCCTTGCCTGTCGGGTTAGATTTATACTTTAAAAATACCTCCCGCGCTCCCTCCTTTTCTCCCCTCTCCCCGTTGCAACTTTCTTTGATCCGCTTAAAGGTGGCTTAGGTGAAATTGGAGTAATTCCCTTATGGGGGGTCTTAAAATGTAAGTGAATGTATTTATCCGGGGTGACTCAAAAGCTTCAGTCCGGAAGTCCAACGTGACTAAAATCAATAGGGGATTGTTCGGGACCGACTGTGTGCGGGTGAACACGGTGTTCGGCCCGGGTGTCATCCGCGGCGCTGGACTGTTTCATTTTGAGTTTGCAACTTGGGTTTTTCAGCGAGCTTTTTTTCTTCCTGAAAGCTAATGGCTTCCACAGCAATTAGACATTTTCCTCGCCCGCCCCTTCCCTCCCCTTTCTTTACATATAGGAGATGGCATACTCATTCCCGCTGCTATTGATAAGGTCGGAGGCGGCCGGGCCTCTCCCCAGCTTTCGCCCGCCCCAGCGCCCGCTCTCCCTCCGCCCTCCCTTGGCTTCCTTTTGATGTAGTGGGGAACGCGTCCTACTAAAAAAAAAAAAAAAAAAAAAAAAGTAATCTGCCCGGTAACAATCAGCGCGCAGTAGCAGGAGCCCCAGAGCTATTGGCTATGCAAATAGAGGGAGGGGAGACGGCGCCCCAAACTCTTACTCACCCTTTTAAAGCGATATCCCCTCCTTTCCCCCCCACAACCCCTTCCGCCCCACCCTCGTTCAAGGAGGCTGGCCCCGGGGCCTGAGTTAATCGCTTGCACCTCTGGTTTCTTTGCTCCCCTCCTCCGCCTTGCAGAGAACCTAGTGTACGGCTCACCCTGCCCGCGCCCCACCCTGCCTTGCTGGCTCTCCGCGCCCCTGCCGGGGCCCCCTCTCTCGATGAGGGAGGTACTCGGTCGGCCTCGGTGTGCCCAGAGAGCTCAAGCCACGCCATGCCCGCTGCACGTGCCAGCTCGGCCAGCACATCAGGGCGCTGGTCTGTCCCCTTCCTCCTTGAAATACACCGAAGGGCAGGGTGGGGGTGGGGGGTGACAGGAGGAAGGAGGTGAGGAAACGCCACCAGATCCTATCTCCTGTAAAGACAGCCTTGACTGAAGGATGCGTTAGAGCACGTGTCAGGGCCGACCGTGCTGGCGGCGACTTCACCGCAGTTGGCTCCCAGGGAAAAAGCCTGGCGAGTGAGGCGCGCAACCGGAGGGGTCGGCGAGGATGCGGACGAAGGACCGAGGGTGGAGGCCTCATGCCTCCGGGGAAAGGAAGGGGTGGTGGTGTTTGCGCAGGGGGAGCGAGGGGGGGCCAGACCTAATCCCTCACTCGCCCCCTCCCCCTCCCGGGCCATTTCCTAGAAAGCTGTATCGGTGTGGCCACGCTCAGCGCAGACACCTCGGGCGGCTTGTCAGCAGATGCAGGGGCGAGGAAGCGGGTTTTTCCTGCGTGGCCGCTGGCCGCGGAGAAACCGCTGGGAGCCCTGCCCCCGGCCTGCGGCGGCCCTAGGCGCTGCACCGCGTCGCCCCACGGCGCCCCAAGGGCCCCCAGAAACACTATGGTTTCTGCTCGAGGATCACATTCTATCCCTCCAGAGAAGCATCCCCCTTCCTTCCTCAGGCGCACCCCTCCTTCTTCTTTTTCCTCTGCACACAGTCTGCAGGGGGGCAGAAGGGACGTTGTTCTGGTCCCTTTAATCGGGGCTTTTGGAACAGCTTCGAAGTTATCAGGAACACAAACTTCAGGGACATGACCTTTATCTCTGGGTATGCGAGGTTGCTATTTTCTAAAATCACCCCCTCCCTTATTTTTCACTTAAGGGAACTATTTCCAAATTGTCTGAGGTCACCCCATCTTCAAACAATCTAGCCTACGTTCCTGGATCTTAAATCCAAGGGCAGAAGTATTAGGATCCGTTTTGAAGAAGCCAAAGTTGGAGGGTCGTATTTTGGCGTGCTACACCTACAGAATGAGGGAAATTAGAGGGCAGAAATAGGAATCGGTAGTTTTTTGTGGGTTGCCCTGTCCGGGGCCCCTGGCATGCAGGGCTGGATGGAGGGAGAGGGGTGGGGGGGCGGGGGACTGCGTTTGAAGTTAGGTCGGGCCAGCTGCTGTTCTCCTTAATAACGAGAGGGGAAAAGGAGGGAGGGAGGGAGAGATTGAAAGGAGGAGGGGAGGACCGGGAGGGGAGGGAAGGGGAGGAGGAACCAGAGCGGGGAGCGCGGGGAGAGGGAGGAGAGCTAACTGCCCAGCCAGCTTGCGTCACCGCCTCAGAGCGGAGAAGAGCGAGCTGGGGAGAGCGAGACCAGTTTGAAGGGGAGGACCGGTGCGAGTGGGGCAGCCCGGAGGCTCTGCTCGCCCACCACCCAATCCTCGCCTCTCTTCCGCTCCACCTTCTCTCTCTGCCCTCACCTCTCCCCCGAAAACCCCCTATTTAGCCAAAGGAAGGAGGTAAGGGGAACCCTTTCCCCTCCCCTTCCAAAAAACAAAAAGAGAAAAACACTTTTCCAGACCGGAGAAAGCAGGGGAGAGAGGGGTCGCCGGGCTGGCCATGGAGCTGCTGTGCTGCGAGGTGGACCCGGTCCGCAGGGCCGTGCGTGACCGAAACCTGCTCCAAGACGACCGCGTCCTGCAGAACCTGCTCACCATCGAGGAGCGCTACCTTCCGCAGTGCTCCTACTTCAAGTGCGTGCAGAAGGACATCCAACCCTACATGCGCAGGATGGTGGCCACCTGGATGCTGGAGGTAGGTCGGCGGGCGGCGCTCGCTAGGAGCCAGGACCCCTCCCGGATTCTCGGGTCCCCGGCCGGAGCCCTAAACCTGGGAGAGGGCAATCCCCGCGCCGACCTCTCGGCTCCTGTGCGGGAGGTCACCGCGCGCCTTTTGGCGAGACGCGTGGCTTCTTTTCTGTTCCTCTCCAGATAAACTGGGGAGGGAGAGGGGGGAGGAAAATCTGGGAGAAGCGAGGCTGCCCTGGGCGGGGGTGGGGGAGCATCCCGCGCGCGTGTGCCTGCATGTGGCTGCCTCTTCTTCCCACCCCCCTCGAGACCTGTCTTCTGCGAAGCCGCCGCGGCTGCTGGCGCTGCGGTCAGGAAGGGAGTCGGGGCCTGAAATCGGGACCCCAAGTAGAAAGGCAGCCCCCCAAAAGGCCAGAGCAAATTCGTCTTGGCCTCAGGTCCCCGCATGTGGTCGCGACTCCGCGCTGGCACTTCAGGGGGGAGGTGGAGGGAGGAGGGAGAAGGAGAGAAACGGGGAATTCAGGAGCCCCGGAAGTCCCATTGAAGAAACGTGTGTTTCGGGGGAACCCAAAAGAACCACTTCTTGCCCCTCACTCCAAGTCTTTGCCCAGTGAGCCGTGTGCCCACGTATGCACAGCTCTGGACCTGCCGTGGTTTCGCCATGTTGCTTTGCAAACTCCCCTTGGAAAGGCTGGGAAACGTCGCCCGCTTACCCTCGCACCCCATTATCCCGGCCACCCCACTTTTAATCGTGCCCTCTCCCCCACCCCCCACCTCACGAAGGTTACTTACAGTTTGGTTTTCCAGCTTCCTCGGTGCGGAGATTTGGGTGGGGTAGGAAGGGGGGGGAGGGGGTGTGTGTAGGGGGGATATCGGGTCACCCCTAAAAGAGAGGTTGGAGCCCCCCGTGCCTCTTTCCAGGGCTCCCTGCTCCCGTCTTTCCCCTAGCTCGTCACCACGTTCCCTAGTTTCTGTCCTTGTGGGCCGCAGCCGGACACTCCCGCCGCGGCGCTCACCCCTTCAAGTTTCCTCCCGGGATCCAAAGCCCCAGGGGTCGGAATACAGACCTTTCTGGCACCCGAAACCTCCCTTTCGGGAAGCCTGGCTCCTCTTTGGGGTTTTCACGCCAAAAGGGCTTTTCTAGGATATTTCCTCGATTTTTAATTATTTTTTGAAACCGTCCCCCCCCTGCTCCGACTCCAGCTGCCGAGGCTGCGGCGCTCTTCCTCCTCTCCTCCCTCCCCCTCTCTTCCCCACCTCTCCCCACCCGCCCCCCCAATAGCGGCCCCTGGGCCGCAGGGACCCCCCCAGACATTTTTTCCAATTGTCGGGAATGATAGAGGAGGATCTGGGGATCCGGATGAGACCAAGAAGTGGACCCCCGGAGCCTCCAGAATATTTTTATTGATTTTTTGAAAAGATGACGAAATCCAAAAAAGAGTGAGTGAGTTAGAGTGCGCGAAGGAGTAGCCAAAGGGAGCGTCGCGGAGCTGCCGCGGCTGCTGCGCACTTCCCCGACTCCCCGTTTTGGAGCTGTAGTTCACCCCCTTTTATAGGCTCCCTGGAACACCAAAGCACGTATGGGCTATTCTGATTCACCCCAGTTTCCTCATCTTTGTTCTTTATTCTTATCACCCATTTTACTCCCCTCCCCCTCCCCACAAAAAATTAAATTTTTTTGTTCCCATAGATGATGCTTTTTCATTCTTTTTCTCTTTTGCTGATGCTCTGCTCTCCACCCCCGCCCCCCAACCGTCTCCCACTCCCATTATAGGTCTGTGAGGAACAGAAGTGCGAAGAAGAGGTCTTCCCTCTGGCCATGAATTACCTGGACCGTTTCTTGGCTGGGGTCCCGACTCCAAAGTCCCATCTGCAACTCCTGGGTGCTGTCTGCATGTTCCTGGCCTCCAAACTCAAAGAGACCAGCCCGCTGACTGCGGAGAAGCTGTGCATTTACACCGACAACTCCATCAAGCCTCAGGAGCTGCTGGTAATGACCGGTCCCTTCTTCCCTTCCTTTCTGCGATTCCCGCTTTCCCCTGGCCAACAACATGCCTTCTTCTCACCACTTCCAGAGCGGATTCTTGGGATCCAAAATGACGCCACCAATAGAATTTACACACTGACGGGCAATAACTCATTTACTAGGAAACCACTGTCTATATTTTTTGTGTTCCTACTATGTGCCCAGGCTCCGTGCCCAGCACTGAGGCAACATCTGTGAATAAGATCCTCCAGGAGATCTGGTGGTGAGACTCACTTGCAATTGTGTATGCATGTGTGTAGGGGACGCGTGGAGTATTTTAATTAACAGTGATATTTTAATTAAATTCCAAATTTTCAAAAATAGTCTGAGAACGTGTTCACATGATAGGTACGTGGCTGCGGTGTGTGTCTCCTAAAGACTTGGAGTTCAAAGGTAAAGCCCTCTGCATCTACAAAACCTCAAGATACCAACACATTAATAGCTGTTCACTAAATATCAGTCCATTGACTTTGAGCAAAGTCAAAACGTGGCCTTTCACTGAAGGAGTCCGAGGCCTGGGTTCCTACCTCCAGTGGGACTGTGACCTTTCTACAACCCCAGGGACCCTGTCTTATCTCTGGTTTTCTACCAGGGAACCTCTTTCCCACCTGATCTAACTCCTTTTCCCTGCAGCTTGACATATAAGACGGCCATATTGCAGCTGTACTGGATGGAAGAGCGGCTCCAAGGCCCACCTTCCGTGGTTTGCACACCCCTCTTTGCACTGTGTAGAAAAGCACCCCCTCCTTCCCCCCCCTCCCCCTCTTTACTGGCAGGGCCTGCACAAAGTCCACAGGGCTGAGGCTGGCTTCTTGAACTGAGCTCTTTGTGAGGAGCCCCTTCCTTTCTGGGGCTGTGCTGCCATCTAGTGGAAGACATGCACAAGGTTGGGGGAGGAATTGCCGAGAATGTGGAGAGGGGCCTGAATGACTTCACCTTTGAACCGCTGCCAGATTTGAGCTGCTTCTGGTTTGGTCCGAGAGGCCTAGAAAGGTGCTGTCTTCTGGGAGATCTGCTTCCTTTAATAACGGTGCAAGACCAGTGGTTCGTACTCGCGTTACCCTGTGAAGAGGAAGGGCTGGCATTTCAAGCCATCTTTGAAGATGTTGGTGGTTTAGTAGTTTATTTAGGTCCCTTTACCCCAACTGTCCACAGAAAGCCAAGGGCAGACTTTAAAGCTTATGAAAAAAAACATTGTTAGAATTGGGAACCAATTTGACTTTCTCATGAGAGAGCAGGAAAAATAATCTTCATATGATTCTTTTGTTTCAAGAGGATGGTGAACTGAGATGTTCTTCAGGACACCCAACTCTTTCCAAGACTAGCCAAGCACTATATTGCTCCAAACAAACTTGGCTGTTTCCTGTTCCCTTTCCCTTTATCCCAGAAGTTGGGATTTGGAAGAGTCCTATTTTACAAATGAGAAGGCTGAGGCCTGGGAGGGAAAGGGAGTCACCCCCGCCCCACAGCTCTGGGACTGATGCTCTGGTTGCTGGTTTAGCAAATGAAAGAGATTCCAGGTTCTCCAGGTGAATGGGAGAGGGGGTGCAGTGACAAACAGGCCCTGCCTCTGATTCTGATGACAGCTCAGTGGATAGGCATGTTTTCTGGTAGCACATACAATATTTTTAATGTTTTATTTTGGACTGTTTCCCTTTGAGCACAGTTTCCCATAAATATCTCAGTGAAAGAGGGAAACAAAGTTTTTGTTCAGGTGGGTTGCTAGTGAGAGACCCAAAAGAGACAGGGTTGTGCGGTCCCCACAGGTGCACCGAGGGATGCTGTGACACTAAGCAGGCACCTTCACCTTGCCCCGAATCACCTCCACCTGCAAAACGGGTCTGCTAATGACCATGTGGTCCTTTAGTCATGATGACAACGGCCCCTTGAAACATTTAGGTGAAAGGGCTGGGGGTCATATCCCCAAAATCTCTGCCTGATATGTCAAAGGGGAAAGTTCGAACAGCAGACAGATAAAGGCACTTTTTGGGACTAAGTAAAAGCAAGCTAATTGGTTGCCAAGGAGTTGGGCCAAGGAACCTTATTTTGAGCTTTATCTGTGTGCATCATTTTTCCATGAAGATTAAAAAGACTATTAGTTCGGTGATAGAGACATATACGATAAATTACCATGAAAGGGCCACAATGACCTTGGCCGTATCTCGTTGTAGGTTCAGCCTTCTGGGTGGGCGGGAAGCAGTATTGCCGGCAAGTCAGGGTTGGGAGGGAGGGGGTAAGGGGAGCTGGAGTGGAAACGAAATAGAAGAAAATAGAATCTTGGCAACAGCTACCTGGGCTCTCATTATTTTCAGTGGAGCCTGACATTTGAAGCATAAGAAGAGCTGTCAACAACTTCAAAGCTTGAGGGGCACATTGACACATGGGCCCGCCTTACAATCTAGCAGCCACGTCCTAATGAGCGGCCTTAAAACTGGTCTGGAGCCCAACCCCCAACCCCCTACACCAGGTCAGCCTGTGGAGTTTAGATTCTCCTCTTCTCTTCCTGCCTTCCCCTCCAGGAGTGGGAGCTGGTGGTGCTGGGGAAGTTGAAGTGGAACCTGGCAGCTGTCACTCCTCATGACTTCATTGAGCACATCTTGCGCAAGCTGCCCCAGCAGCGGGAGAAGCTGTCTCTGATCCGAAAGCATGCCCAGACCTTCATTGCTCTGTGTGCCACCGGTAAGATGAGGCTTGAGCCAGGGAGGGAGACGGGAGAGATATTTGGGAGACGTCCAGGGGGAGGCAAAAGGCCGTACAAACTTTGATTTTAGTTGAGTAGCTTAGAGGAGGGGTGGTCTTGAGTAGTCTAAAGTCCGAAGTTTCATTCCTGGGTTGCCTTTTTTAACTTTATCTGAGCTTTGTATATTCGCTTTCTCTGCTAAACTCATAAATGGTTTACGAGGACAGGTGTGGTTAAGGCAAAAAAAAAAAAAATGAGTGCCTGTTAAAATATTCTTTATGATGGCTAAAGTGCTCTTTGAAGATTATACACACTGCTCACTGGTTGTGTTTAAATCTTTAATCTTTTAAGGAAAAGGATGGCTTGGAGATAAGCCCAAGAGGAAATCTGGGGGGGATGGGGGCAAATACAGGTTAAAGGAACAATGTCAAGATAAATATGCTGCCTTGATTAGTGGTAAGGGAGACCAAAGGAATTCTTTTTTTTTTTTTTTTTTTTTTTTTTTTCTTGTGTTGATCTCTATGTGGGTGTTTCTGTCGGATCCTTTTTTTTTTTTTTTTTTTTTTTTTACACTGTAGGGCATTTATGGCCTTCTAGCTGTTCACTTCTCTAGCTGTTTGCCCCACTGGGCAGAGGAGTGAACCCGGTTGGCTTTCGGTAAGGCTTGGCTTTCTGAGCGCTGGGTTCTGATGGTCTCACTTCATGTGGAGGTGTTTTGATTTTGGCTGCAGCCTTTAACATTGCAATTCTGCCTGCCACGGGGATCCCACAATTGATACATAGTTCCTCCTGGCCCATTTGCTTTATATTTTCCTAATAAACTGAAGGCAGTGGTTTGCTATTGTCTTATTAAACAGCCTTGGCCAGTGTCTACTGGTTTTCTTTTTTTTTTTTTTTTTTTTCTTGGTAGCGGCCATGGCAGAGACCCCGGAACCTTACTCATCCAAGGCAGAGATGTCAGCAGTTCATGTTTTGACAGTCAGAAACCTTAGGTTAAAAGCTGATCACTTGGGAAGACCTTTTGGTGTGGTTCACCTCACATTTGCCAAGAGTAGTTAAATTGCTAGGTGGACTCAGGTGGTAACTTTTTTCAGTAGGTTGTTACATGTTACTTGTGAGCGCTACAGATGATTATATGATGTACAATGTAGTGCATATGCCCTGTGCTCACAGTCAGAAGGTCAGGCTTTGCTACATATCAGTGGGGTGACCTTTGATTGACTGCTTAACCTCTCTGAACCCCAGCTTCTTCATCTCCAAAACAAGCCTATTGATACATCATCCTGTGGCCTTTTCCGAGCAGCTAGGAAAATTAAAATCAGAAAGGTGATGCACGTGGAAATGCTTTGTAAACCAGAAGTGTAGGTTGGACCTTCACTAATTGTGAAAATGCTACCATCTCCGATGTTAACCCTGATTTTAACTGTTCCGGCTAAAGTGGATATGACGGCTATCCTTTACTGGCTGCCCTTGTCTGTTTCTAGCAGGACCTGTGTGTTCTGCACTTGTAGGCTTGAGTGTGGCGTCCTTCCCGCCTCCTGCCTGTTCATCTAGGGCACAGGTTTCAACCCTTTGCTGGTTTTTTGTAGTCCTGTTCTTCTGGATGCAGGCCAGGCCTCATGGCGTGCACATGCGCCCCGTGCGCCTTGGTGGGCGAGTCCATTGTCCTTCCTGTAGCCCTGGGGGTGGTTCTTAGGACCCCTGTGGACCCTGCTGCCTTTTAGATAGTGGTCACTCTGGCTTCCTTCCCTTCCACTCTCTGGCGGGGGCCCGAGAGGTCAGTCCTCCAGTGACCTGTCATTTTGTCTCCCAGGCTCGGCTGTCTCCTTCCTCTCTCATTTGATTCACTGTGGGGGAGGGGTCAGCCAGTTCTTTCTGTCTGGCCCAAGGACAGCTGACCCCGACCCTAAACTCCCCCACTGCCCAGCTGTTGATAGCCAGAGCTCTGATTCGACATTGTCTCTGGAC